TGTTTGATCTATAGCTGTGTTGGGAATCGCCCATCAATCTTCTTCCCATTTCCAATATTGTCGAATTAATTTTACGCAGTGAGTTGCTACAGTTTATTATGCTACGAAAACATTCCATTTCATTTGGTTTTAGTATTTTGGCTCTTCTTTAGAATATTAAAATGTACATCTTTTCTATTTTTCACAATTTATATTTCTCTTTCTCCTTTATTTTCTTTAAAATTATTTATAATTTTACTGACTCAACATGCTTATTATATTTTCAAATTATATTTTCACGAAAGATATTTATACTCTATACTTATACAATATTTTATTTGAATTATTTCATAAAACACACATAAAATCTTTCTTAATAAACACTTACAATTAGTTTGATAAAATAATAACTCAATTTCTCTCTCTCTCTCTCTCTCTCTCTCTCTCTCTTTCATTCTTTTAATGTTATAAAAATTAATATAAGTTAAATTCTATATCGATTTGTGCTCAAATTCATCCGCAACGCCAAGTAAGAAGTAATTAAACTTTTAAATATCGTCAACACACATTTATAAGCATTATATAATTAATTAATTAGAAGTAATGTCGACTTGAGTCCGGTATTTTAATGCGGTTTACCAACGTAAGCTCGAGTTTAAATGAAGTATATTTACGCCTTATCGTATGTTCGCATAATTTAATTAAATACGGCAGAGACAGATACTAATGGAATGTGCACGGATTATCCAAACTTTCTTTGGAATGCGTCGCTTTGTAACGGGGAATAAATTCGAATGCGCCGAGTAGGCGATTTGTATTCGACGCGAATGAAACGTTTCCGGTATCGGAAGCATCGTTACGCATCGTTGCTGGTCGAAAAATGGCGTGCAATATCACAATAGTGTGCACACGAGACTAAATGAAATTGCCGTGGCAAAGAATGCTGTCGAAGATATCGTCACACCAGCATGAAATGCTCACGAGTATTGCTTCCTTCCGCAAAGTATTTCAACGACATGTGCTCCGGCAGGATGTAGTCGCATGCAGCATCCAAGACACGCAAAAGTTGAATTACGCGCGTGTTCTCTCATAATCTGCACAATATAGTTAAAAAAGATGAAATCAGGAGAAAGAGAGAAAAGTACTACTTATTATAGTCTAAAATAAAATCTTTTTGAACATGCAGTAAATGTTGACGATTATCTTAAAACATGTTATAACTATAATAATATTTGACATTACTAAATATAATGAGTTAAAATGGGATAAAAGGCGAAGATAAAAAAAAGTAAAAATCGAAATAATATAATTCGCAAAACAATTTACGAAACAAACAAATCTGGTACGTGAAGATAAATTTTAGTACGAATGTATTAGTACAAATGAATGCAGTTTTTAAAATTCTTTTCTAGAGAGATATGTAGGCAATTTGCGTTTGAACGACCAGAATAAATCAAATTTTTTAATTGAGGAAAAGAGAAAGGAAGACAGAAAGCGTGGTGTATCAATGGGATGTTGGAGATTCAGGTATATGTCGTGACATACGAGCGTATTTATTGTCTGAACGCAGCGATGTTATTATTCCGGACCAATGTTGGATTAAAATCGAACTGATTAAAGTCGAGCTCTCAAAAATTGAGTTTCACTGACGGAAACTTTGCACTTTAAAGGTTTTCTGCAAGTACATTATTTTCTTCATCATAACGTTGATGTATTATGTCGTCGTAAGATGCGTACTTTGCAAACTACGGGAACAAGAGCTTAGTTACTTCCTTACAGTTTTATAGACTAATCCCTATACTTCCTCTTGACCTCAGCACTTTGGTTGCAACAGTAGCGTCGTAAGCCACAAAGGCTAATAAAGTAAATTCATTCTACGAGAATAAATTGAGACGATGGCTAAGACAAGAATGCATTCAAAGGCTTAGCTTTGAGAAAAATATTTTGAAAAAAATTCAAAGTTTCTAATTTATCTTTTTCGCAAGATAAGAAGGGTAAATTATATGCTCCATTAGCAGATAATGCCTGTAATTATCTCTAAGATCTATTTAAACAAGAAGTTCCAGAAAAATAATGATAGATAATTTGAAAATCTTAAACCTTATATAATTACTGCATCAACTTTTAGCCATTGTTTTCAGGAGAAGAATGGAAGTTGAGAAAATGCATTGCGCTCATCCTCTCTCTCTCTCTCTCTCTCTCTCTCTCTCTCTCTCTCTCTCTCTCTCTCTCTCTTTCTCTCTTTCTCTCGCTCTCCCCGCACGCGTGTGTGTAATGGTTTAATTACATTACGGTAGCAATTTGCTGAAAAAAGAGAAGGAAATAATTAAATTATTCGGTTTGAATGTAGCAATTTGTACCATAATATACCATGTTAAGATAAATGTTGCTGCAAAAGATGGCTCATAATATTATTTTACATCTTATAAACATTATTAACTATGCATATATTTATGCATTAGAGATTTCATATTAAGATAAAATTTTTCAAATATTGCGACAATATTAATGTAACTTTCAAACTAAATTATTAAATTTATGAAGTTTATAATATAAAAATATCAAGCAACATTAAATTTATAATATTTTTCACAATTTTCTATAATGCTGTTTTGTGATAAAACAACAATTTAAATATTTAATAATTCTCAAATATATTTTCTGCATATACAATATATTTCAAATACTTAAATATATTAAATGTAGTAAAAAGAAATCCATTATTTTTGCATGAAATTGAATGGAAAAATAATGGATTTCTTTTTACTACACCTAATATACTATATTTTCACGAATACAATTATATTCTTGGCGTACCAAGAAATTAATCTATGATAAATATTTCTTAACATTATTGCATTTCTAAAATAAACAATGGATTAAATATACGTCAAAGAAAATTATATCACCGTATTAAATTAAAGAGATTATTCAGCATAATAATTAGTTAATAAAGGAATATATGCAGCCATAAATATCAAAGAGTAATTAGACTTATACTCATCCATATGCATGATTTCACCGTCGCCATATTGTGCAACTTTGTATTATCCATCGTTCCTGTTAGACCGCAGAAAAGTTGAAATGTTTTACATCGAAATGGACTACCGGTATATAACTTCGACGCGTCTCATATCTGATTGAAAATTCCAAAGTTGCAAAATTAGCACTACGAGTTTGTTCATTAAACATCACAATTTGCGGCACAGATGGCAAAGTTACCAATGTCCATCGAAAGTGTCCACCACGCACACTCATTGATCCTTACTTTCATCGTACATTCGGAACTAACTAAAAACATATAGTATTATGAAAAGTAATCTCATCATGTTTCGCATACGATTCAGTTTCAATCTCTATTTGAAAGCGTGATTAATTATACATTAGTATTCGTATTGATTCAATCTAATTTGTATTTCGACAATCTCAATTCAACAAATTATTGTTTCAAAACAAAAGTTTAAATTTTTATTTCTCTTAAATTCTTACATAGAGATCTTATTTCGATAATTAAATATAATTTCTTCATCTTATGATTGTCTATAACAAGTTTTGCATTATAATTAGATAATATTATGTATTTATATTATTATGTCAATTATATATTTATGTAATTATATAACTAATCAGATAAGACATTATATAATATATATTAGCTAATCATTAGATTCAGCTACAACCTCATCTTCTGCGTGCGTGTAATATACACTACCGTCAGAAAATTTAGGATCAATGTGATATAATTTTAAAATACATAATTTATGGTAAAATTATAAAACAAATAGTGCAATTCTGGTAATTATTTTTTACTTAATTATATCTTCAGGATCATATTATGCTGCAAAAAATAAAATTGGATTTACAGATATTTTTAATAAAAAGAACTTAAAATTAAGTCTTTAAAACGCTTGATCTTAAACTTTCTGAGGATAATTATATAATCACTTTTTGTATGTTTAATAAAATTTAACAAAATTTAATAAAATTTATTATTATTATTTGTCTAAAACTATTATTGTAATTTGTACTGAATCAATCAGAACTGTAGATTTTTGTATCGAATAATCAAATGTTGCAATAATTTTTGGACCATCAACAATGTCTACAAACGATTCCTTCTCTTTAAAAGCACAAAGCAGAAAAGTTTATTCTGCACTTTTACCTAATCTTCCCGAGAGAAATCGTCCCTCTCTTTCATCGCTATAAATCTCCTACTACTTCTTCTGCGAAATAGTGAAAAATTACCCTCGTTCTTATTCACGAGAGCCACTTTGTAGACTAATGATTCCGTAACCGGTTAGGCGGATCAAAAATGTGAAATAAACTTATGTATCAGTAGCAATAAAATGTAAAATCATACTATTCGCAATCAGCATTTGAAACGTATTATCTATCTTGTTTCTGTATGAAGTTAATCCCAATTTCTAGATCGAAGTCTCACAATATTAATGTAATAATAAATTATTTATTCTAAGTTAAGTAATACGCACACAAATATTCTTTATTAATTAAATAATTTGACTGCATAAAATTGCATGCTTCATAAGAAATGGATTAATATAAAAAAAAAATATAATAATAAACTATTCTTTAGTAAAATCAACATAAAAATATTTTTGTTTAATATATTTTACATAAAAATATATATGTATATACATATAAAGATATATAAAACACACACACACACACACACACACACAAAAGTTAAAAAAGATTTTACGAAATCTGGCTTTAAAGATTCACAGTTGAAGTGAGAATTGGATCAAATTTTGAAAATCATTTTAACCGAGATTGCAACCAAATCTCTACAATCCTTCCTATTGATTCAAGATACCTGAAATTGAGAAATGATTTGATAAAACGATTATTATGTGTAAATAAAGTTAAGTAAGAAGAAATCTTAAATTGCGTTAAAATCAACGCTTCTAAAACTCAAAATTCACTTTTTAAACAGTAATCCGCTACATGATACTAACTGTCATTTTAGATTTATTTTAATATGTTAATTTTTCTTATTTCAGATTCTATTGGGACCTCTGCATGCTCCTCCTACTGGTAGCTAATCTGATAATTCTGCCAGTCGCCATTAGTTTTTTCAATGACGACCTAAGCACTAGATGGATAGCCTTCAACTGCCTTTCCGACACGATATTCCTTATAGACATCGTCGTCAATTTCAGGACGGGTGAGTGTCATTCGATCGATTTACTTGTTATTAATTTCCCATTATAATAAATTCTCATCACTTTAATTGGAATTCGTAATAGAAGATTTTTAATTCGCAAACGTGTACTGCTGAGAAATTCCAATTTAATCTTTCATATCAACAGGATTTGTGCAAGAACATCTGCGTTGTCGCAGTAACAATTAACAATATTAGTAACGTCTTTTGAAACTTTCATATAATACTATTAGGTGTTGCTTATACCATAGTATCTTCGCAACATACAAAATTCCATTTGACATTATATTTCGCATCATTTCCTCACAATAATCGGCATAAATTATGATGCGTCAAGAATCAAAGCATTTACACACATTAGAATATTTTACAAAAATTCATCTTTTATACATATACGTGATAAAATTTCTCAAGACTTAATATAAAAAAATATTTAAAAGTTAAATCTCAAGTAAAAAATACTTAAAAAAATACATCAATCATATTCTTATCAAATTTTTCTAAGATTATTTTTTTAATATCTTGACTTGTACAACTGTGCAAAGTTAGAAATACAAATTTTGAAAATTACAAAATTGCCGTGCCAATAATAAGTAATTTTTTCTTCTTTAAGAACAAGATCGGCGATATTTTCTTTAAGAATTTTTCCAATTTTTATATTTAAGATTTCAAGAACGGTCTACCATTTTGGAATTTTTTCTTTCGTGCAACTCGTCCTTGTTACGTTCCCAAATATAAGATACCGGTGAAAACAGACACAGTGCAAGATGGATCATCTATTTGCGCTCTTGCTGATCTCGACAATACACAATGACAATATTGTTAGAGGAAGAGAATACTCCTAACTCCTTGACATTTCGTTATTACCAAGGGATTAATTTGAAACGTGTTTGAATCGGTTTCGTAAACACGGAATTAGGTCACGAACTGCGACCGATGGAAATTATTATATTATATTGCATATCGCTTTGTCGATTCGCGATAATTAAAAATTTCTAAGCTAAATTTTTAATTATTTCGGCATCCTGTTCAAATATTTTATAGCACGGAACAGTAATATTCTTAATAATTACTTCTTTTTCTTTTATTTATACCTTATAATAATTCAATGCTTGTTTTTTCCAATTGCTAAATTAAAGTATTATATATACATAATATATATATAATGGGTGCATCAGATGCGCGAAAACGGTAACGTGACAAACTGTCGAATCGATGGCAAGTCGCCAGAGCGTGAGATAATAACATTAGCGTTTTTCCGGCAGTTTGAGCTTCGCAGGCTTTGGAAAATCATTGATGTGAAAACACCGGAGTAAAATTCTTTCGTTGCAGGTATAATGCAGCAGGATAATGCCGAACAGGTGATACTGGATCCGAAGTTAATCGCGAAACACTACCTCAGGACTTGGTTCTTTCTCGACCTCATCTCCTCCATACCATTAGACTACATTTTCCTCATATTTAATCAAGTAAGTATGTCTACGCAACCTTATTCCTTGTTAAGTAAGTAAGTTATTAGCTCGCTGTTACACCCTTTATGACAGAGCTGGGCTAGACATGTACTTGAAATATTTTTATTTGAAACACAGTATTGTAAGACAATTATATTTTGTATTGTTTCAACATTTCAACGGAGCACATACAAATATTTTGTATTTTATGGGAGCATATAAAAGTATTTTGTATTTCAATATTAATACACAAAACAAAAGGTTGAAAGTATCTTGTATTTTCTATTTCCAATACTAAGATTGATATTATTATTATTATTATTTGAATTATAAAGTATAAAAACTTACCATTTTTCGATTTTAAATACAAAATACGTAATACTTTCATGTGCTCCGCTGAAATACAAAATACAATGCCCTGTTTTATGAAAAATCATCAAAATAACTTTCTAGTTTCTCTTACCAAATTAATAAATAATACATTTTCATGTACGTACATTTTTCACGATACATATTTAATTAATGTAAAAAAATACTTTTAATTCTTTACATCTCTAGAATAATATGCTAAATATAAAATTAAAAAGAAATAAAATAAAATATAATAAAATTTTAAAGATCTAAAAATACAATAACACTAATATAATATATATATGTCGTATAATATATATATTATATTGTATAAATATAAAATTAATGAATCATGAAACGATTTTCTGAATAATTTTCTGAATGATTTTCTAAATAACTCTGGATATTTGCACACTTGTTTACTGACATTCGGAGAGTCAAATATTACAGTAACGAAGAAATTCGCAAGTTTCAGGACTTCAGCGAGTCCTTCCAGATCCTGCATGCTGGACGTGCTCTCAGGATCCTCAGGCTTGCAAAACTGTTATCACTCGTTAGGTTACTACGTTTGTCAAGACTGGTGCGGTATGTCTCGCAATGGGAAGAGGTCTATGTGAGTGTTCTACTACTTACTATACAGCACTGTTCTTATTTTGTAAACATACGATACGTGTAGTTCGTGTATAATTTACGTATATAAAAAAAAAGAGAAAAGGAGAAGCGTTTGGTGACCTTTAACGGATTCAGGAAGCTGACAAACGATTTTTTTCTCCTACGAAATTACTGCTTTTCCTGTAAACAATGAAACTTAATGAGTTAATTAATGTCGATTGTCAGTTTTTTGAATCTATCAATTGCAGAAATCAGCTTCCGCATTTTATGTGGGATATTAAATAATTATGTCTATGCCTGTGATATATAGTCGTTGTAGAGAATCGAAGGAAATAAAGGCAACAAGTCAGCCCACTTTCGTGGATATTTCGTATTTAATCGCAGATGACTCATCGAGTCTTACTAACAAAGTTCTCATGTCAGTGGTGGATTCTGTCTGACAGGCAATCTTTTTTATGAAGTTTTCTTGAATTTGCACTCATTAAATGAGAATTTCATTCTCACTATGTGCAAAGAGTCTCCCTTTGTTATAAGATTTTCATCAATAAAGTTTAGTCGATCGAATATATATGTACAAATCTTTTTTAGGTATATGCAGCGAAAATAGGATTCTTAACAAAATTACTTTTTCATCGTTGTCGTAAATGTCTCAGTCCACCACTGCGGGGAATTTTTTCGAACTGGGCTCTCAGATGATTAGATTATGTTTCGCTTTCCGTTGCTGAACATCTAATAAGTGTCCCCACGGCTCTACTCAATATATCCTGTGATACCTCGAAATTTCCACTCTACAAGAAAGTCTCCAATCCTTCCGTCTATCTTTCTCTCTCACGATAATAATAATCGTTAATTAGAATCAGCTGTTCCCTTGCTCGATCATTTCATCGCACCGAGAGGAGCATAAAACAGATAATAGTTGTAACAATAGGTAATACCTATAACAAACAATTCGCGGACACAAGCGGAGAGATAGCGTGACGAGCAAATAGAGGAAAAAAGATACACGTGCACGTGCGATTGCGTGTACCGCAGAATCATCGTTAATATCATCGTGAAACTCGATACAAAGAGAATCTCGTGACACAATACGACAACATTTTATTATATTTTTCATTGTCATTTCGATGCACCGATAATTGTTGTTGTTCGCTATTCGTATCTTACTCGTTACTTTTTGCTCTCGTTTTAACGCACATGTCGATTTTGTGCACGTGATGTAATGGTACGACGATTCGTCGACGGGTAAGTAACTGTCCTCCCAACAAATGTATATATATATATATATATATATATATATTCGACAATAGAAGCAATGCGTAAACGCCCATTCTTTTCATTCAATCGGAGAATCATTTCGAAAGATAAAAGAAATAACAAAATGAATAACAAAAGGTAAAAAGAACAATCTTTTTGTTTTTATAAATGTCTTCCATAAATTCGCGTCTCTATTTTATTTTACTGCAAATATATCTCGCTATTTCTTCACTAAATGTTTAAAAATTTAAACAAAGTACTGCGAAGTGGTTGTTGCAGTTATAGAATAGAAAAATTGTAAAACATGTATATTATTACAATAATAAGAAAATGAGAAGAATCAAATAACGTTTATATAATATTCGTGTATACATGTTGTATATCTCGCCAGAATTGTACGGCAAATGAACTGCAAGTGCATTAATTGTTTGAGTGGGTTAATTGGATTGAGAAATTATTGCTACCTTTCGGTGCTTCCGCACGTCGGCGATTGTGTTTACGTGGGATAACATTTTTGTGTTACGTTATTTGTGCTCGCGCTATTAGCATAAAATCGTGGCACAGCGAAGAGACCAACGAATCAATCAGGCTTTTCGTCCAATCGAGATAGCAGTATGTCATTCGCTCAAAATCTTATTACGCTTGCCTTGAAACGTTACTATTGCCTCCCTCTGCTTTTTCCTCTCTGTTCTGTTCTGTTGTACAAAGATATATGCTGAGAAAAAAAAATATATGCGCGAGGGAAAACTGCGTTCCAAGTGCAATAAACTCGTCACGCATCCGGGTATAGATATCATTTGAACAAATTAACTATAGTTTGTCAAATAGCAGCGAAGAAATGCGCGAGGCAAACGTACCGACCACAATGCGATCAAATATGATGTCGAGAATCGCTATCCCGTTCTATTTCTTCATCGAATTCACGATAAATCATTTTCGTTAAATTGGGAATAAAATGTTTTCTCAATTAATTAACGCAAAATTAAATCAGTTCTTATACCGCTTTCGGTGAAAATATTAATGGATTTTGAAAGTATGCCAACGACAACAAAAATAGTAATTTGTGGCGCCACTATTCATAGACGCTAATAGAAGGAAATTGAAAATGTAGATCTATTTAAGATGAAACTTAGCCAAATATTTTCCATTCATCTTCTCTTCTTCATTGTTATTGATGTCGTTGTCATATTTATTTTCGAAGTGTGAGGAATAAACTTTCACTGTATATCACATTTCGCGTTAAGAAAATGCGCACTGATAGTTAATTTATAAATCATTTCGCATGATTATTCAATCAGAGTTGATTTATCATCTCTTTAATGGGCAGACTATAAAATATACGGGTTGCTATATTTGTAGTGAAATTATTTTAATTTAAACTAATGGTTAACTATTAGCTAATTCGTCGTTTTATATATTTTGCTGTATAGAAAAATGCAAACTTGGCATAAAAAGACTGTAAGTGCAAAATAAATAAAAATTGCTTTTCACAAAATATTTAATTTATTCAAAAAAGTATTTTATTCAAAAAATACACTGTAAAAAAACAGCACTTATAATTTTTTATTTCAAGTTCTTGTATTTATTATCAGACACAATCAACATTGATATAACAAATCGAACGGTTGTCTTTCATAATACACATACACAACATATACAATTATATGTTTATCCACCGTTTCAATGCGAGAACAGAGCCGACAATTTATCTTTTAATCTAGCAGCGAAAAATCTTTATATCGAGTAGATATACATATATAATATATCCTGAAAATGAAGATACAAGCACATGCGTGATTATCACGCCACTGTACACACAACATTATTTGCAAGGATCCTAAATCGTCTAATCGAAAAATATTGTCGTCCTCTTACATCCACTTTCTTAAATAATCAAGTGAGACACAATATAACAATCCTCATATCTTTCCTAAGTATTAAATCTATTTTATAATTGCGTAAGCATAGTTGTAAGTAGTAATTGTAAGAATTGATCAATCACAGTCAAATTTGAGGCAAATATTTGACTGTGATTAATCAATTCTTCTACAACCATTTAACCTAACCACACTTACGCAATTGTGGAATAGTCTCTAAATTTCTTAGAATGAAATCTCACTTCAAAAAATTAAAAATACTGCCACTATTGAAAAAAGTGAAAATATTTGCATTCTTGAATAAGAATGGCAGATTTTTACTTCTTTTTGGAGTGAGATTTCATCCTAGAGTAAGATTCACTCCAAACGAAAGAAATCTCATTCCTTTTTTAATAAATTTCACTCCAAAAGAATGAAATCCCACTCCAAAAAAATCTGCCACTCTCTTTTCAATAGTGGTAGTATTTTAACTTTCGCGCGAGTGGATTTCACTTTAAGAAATTTAGAGAGTAGGCATCACACAATTTTTCATATCGTCACTGTTGTATGAATAAAATGCAATCTTGCTTATATCATCCATCCACATGCATACACACTAACACGAACAGGAATCTTTTAATTCTCAGACATACACACACGAGTACAAAGAAAACAATATGTACAAATCGACTACTAGCGTACTGCGAGAACACGTTTCCGAATGGGTTTGCAGATCCCCCTTTATCAACAGCCGGAGAGGCACTACGAGCGTCGGGCGACACCGCCCCAACCAGACCGAACCAGCAAGGTGTGCCTGCCTAGTTACCCTGAAACCAAGGCCAATTGCCCTTACTTGATTCAAGCGTTCGTTAACACAAAACTCAATGTGTTTCTACGTATAAATATATCTATATACGCTAGATCATTATTATTCACTACTGTCGTTTCTTTCATTGTTACTCATTGATTACGATTATTCTAATTACCGTTGCCGTTTTCGTTTGTGGTCACCTATCTCTCGTTTTTCATTTTGAGTTTCATAGAGAACGTGCATAGTCTTGTCGTGTAATTTACAACCTCCGGTACGAGAAGTTATTTTTCTTTTTACACATATAACACACCCGACATACTTAGACCCAGTTTGTGAATTGTAGCAGAGCCGATCAAGAGCTTTAACATTGTCGGGGAGTTCCATGTTCTGTAAAAAGTCATCGAGCAGAGAAAAGACTATGCCTACCATTTGATCAATTATTAAAAATTTATTACAAACTTACGGAGTAAATTGAACTCCTTCCTTGTCGCGCGACTTTGTTAAAGTTTGAACACTACAAACTCGAACAGGCAAAGCGGAAAAAGTCTTATACTTTAATTAATTGATCGTAAGGTAATGGAATTATTGAAATTGTCATTTTGGTTGAAATTAATAAAGTTATAGTATAACTTTATATTTCATACAGAACTAAACGCTATAGTTTTCACGGAAGTCAAATAGCTTTCATTACGTAGAACACTTCAACAAGCTCTTGATCAGTCTTGCCCTTAGTCCCGTAGTCCTGGCGATGCGACGTGTGACATGGATCACAGATTAGAAGATGCGATATTAGCTGAGAAGAATTCAGTATGTATTGATCAATGGAGAATGATAATGCTTGCAGTATTATATCTTAGTGACGATGTTTTTCTATAACTATATTATTAAAATCCATGTTTCACCGACTAGCTGATTCCTCGCCAAAGTTCTTGAGAACAGTTTTTTGATATGAGATGTTACCTTGTTTTTGTCGGGTTTTGTTGGAAAGTTCCGTTCTGCTAGGTACTAACATGAGTTTGGTTACACGAATAGTGTCATTGTGAATTGGTCGTGTCGAATATTCGATCGCGCGATCGCAGG